CGTAACAACATGTGCAAAAGACTAGTTTATATTATGCATCATATAATAGCATAAATTTATCTTCAATATGAGTGCCGTCAAGAGAAACCAGTAATCTGGGTTTCAATTTAATGTTTACCGGCCATAATCTTTAACAAGTTGTTAAAGATTATGGCTGATAAACATTAAATTGAAACCCAGGTTACTGGTTTCCCTTGGTGGCACTCATATTATATTGACATAAGGTTACTGGTTTTTCTTAGTAACATACATATTATATTGACATATATATTCTTTTGTAATCATAAAAATACAAAAGAAATGTAATGATACGAAAAATCTCAGATACACGACAAATCTCAGTGTATGGTCATAAAATATAATAACAAAAAAATAAGATAAGTATACTTTTTTCATTTGTTATACTTTATATACTTTATATACTTTATCATTATATTGCATTAGATTCTAATTTTACGAAAGTTTGCAAATATATAAATACAGTAGATTTCCAACGTTGAAGGTAAAACATTTTTGGAATTTTTTTTGGAAATGAGCTTCCCAAAAAATGCTTCACCATCCAATAACCCTCGCTCCCAATCATTTAATACAAAAACTTCAGCTACTAATAATGATTCTGATGATTCTTCAGATACAGCAAAAAGTGTTTATAGCGTTCATAGTACTTTTTCTAAGATGAAAACTTGATCACAAAGGTCCTCAACATATCATTCAGAATCACGCCAACCCTCACAATCTGTCCAACCTTCCCACCAACCATCACAATCTGTCCAACCTTCCGGCCAACCATCACAATCCGTCCAACCTTCCTACCAGCCCTCTCGTTCTCAACAATCATCCCCAAATAATGATAGAGATCATTCCTTATCGCCACAGCACCGTTCTCGTGAATAAGGTAGATCACAAGATAGATTACAAGAAAGATGATTAGCCAATCAAAATCAGCTACGAAATTTAGATGGTAAATCTATATATAAGTCTTTTTTTTTTTTACTTTCAGATTTTTTACCGTCTAGATGAATTGATAATTGCTAAGAATTACAATATTTTGTATTTCGCTAAACTAATCATTTACTGCTAAATTTAATCTGTTAATAAGATTGATTTTTTAGAATTTTTATCGCTCTTAAAAGGCTACGTCATATTTGTGAAACATAAATTTACTGATTTGTATTTTGCTTTTACTTTTTTTATTAAGATATATAAGATAATTTGAACTTTTGTATTGATAAATATTTTATAGTTTTTAATATTCAAGATAGATGACATATAAAAACTTTATCTTAAAAATAAATTGTATATTTAAAACTTTATGATTTATTATAAAATATTTCTTTCTACACTTAATGATTGAATATGTTCTATTCTCCAAACTGATGCAATGATATGTAGATTTTGTATTATTAGTTTTTCATCTAAACACAATCTGATTACTCAATAAAATTAGATATCATATATTTGGTCTTTATATATGACTAACCAATTTACTATTCCTCATAGAGATTGTTTTTACTAAATTTTTCTAGCACTAAAAAAATAAATAAAATAACAATAAATTTGATAATTAAACAAGTAAAACAATATCTATCGTACTTATCTATTCTTATCTAAATAAGATTTTCAATTAAATGCTGTGCTACATGTCTGTCAGTCTGTCAAAAATTTAATGATACTAATATGTGGAAACATTTGATAATCTTATATATTTATTTTTGGTTCTTGTAAAAAACTAGTTTTATATACTATTGCTTAGCAATTATCACTCTTAATATAGTAAACAAAATAATCGCAAATAATCACGAAATAATAAACTTATATCGATCGATAATATACTATATGCGTGTGTATTTATTTTGTATCATATGACATTGCTAAAAAATTACAGTACCTCAATAAAATATTCAGTTATCTTAAGCTATCTGAAATAAAAATCAAAGATTTAATTATGTAAAATTGATATAACTTTTGTCTGATTTTTTTTCTAATTTGTAATAAATTCTTGATTGTAATATTGTCTACTATGATCATATGATTTACCAATTTTTTTTTTTTTTATTTAAGTCTTTCATCATAACTTTTGTCTTATACAATCGCTCATTGCAATTTGGCAAATGTCTTCTAAATTATTTACATATTTGAAACTATACCGTTTAATCTTGATTACCACAATAAACAGAAAATATTAGATATCCAGTTAATACCAATTGGTATACATTTTACAATACCCTTTTTGTGCTACTAACTAAAATCTGTTATCTACTGATAACATAAAAGCTATTCATGTCCTCGATCCAATTCTTATAATAGTATAATAAGATCATTGTTATTCTTATAGCCACGCTAAATATAATAATAGCATTGTAAGATTTCTTTAAAAAAAAGTAACATGTAATATCTAATTAAAGAAAAAGTATCTAAATCAAAGAATAAATGCTTACCAACACATTGTTCTTATAATATCTTCATTGGTATCTTATATTATTATCGATTTATTTTATATTGTATACGATTAAGTATTTTTATACAACCTTACCTGTTCATAATTATTTATAGATATTTCTGCATCTATAAAAAGAGTAAAACTCACCAGAATAATTAGTAATACTTAAAAAAAATCATTCAAACAAGCTTTGCTGCTTATCTATATTTTTCAACAACCCTTATTCGTACTAAATATCTTATTATGTTCTCGATCTTTATATTATTTTGTTTTGTTAAAACTATTAGCAGAAGTAATAAATATATTTCTAGAACTAGCTTATATCATATCAATAATGATGTTAATGCTTTTGTGAAAATTACATTTAAAGGCTTTACTAGTAACCCCGAATTCTTAGTATCCTCTCTTGAAAAAAACTCTATTGTTTTAGTAATTGGACAATATATATATGAGGATAATACAGAATATGTATAAATTTATTTTCAGGTTCTTGACTGTTATAAACTTCTGCAATAAGCTGATTAATCTTTATCTTTATACAGGTCACTTTAATACAAACTATATCCATATCATTTTCTAATGATGAATATGTTCTTACTTCTACTAATTTCCTATATTCATCATCTTTGCTTCTCTTTTCTGCTTTTGTTATACAAGGTTCTTACTATCTAGACAATAAAGAAGAGAGGAAAAGTTTTATGCTCATGAGATGTTCATATAAACATGTTTTTTCAAATATTATCATCTCCTATACAAATGAGAATAATCAGTACAATGCAATAAAAAATAATCTGCAAAAAACTGGTTTATTGGTCATCAGAAGATTAAAAATCAGATCATCCAAGATCCTACATATTGTCACCTCTAATATCAAGTGGACTTACTTAAATAATGAATCACAATTTTCAGGTACTTCGGGTAAAGAAAAAGCGAAGTATTAGATAACTAGCTAGATAGTATTGAAGAGAAATATGCTACTTTATCCTCTCAACCTTCACAAAAAAAACCAAAGCTTTCCTTATATTCAATGTCTGCTAGAAAATCAAGTGACAACCCTATTTCTGTTAATTTTATAAATGTTGTTTCTCAAGTTCGTACCAATAAATATCCTCCAGAATCTAACAATATAGATCCTATACCAGAAAATATGAATCAAAATAATTCGTCCAATACCAATAATAGCGCTATTCCTCCTTCAGATACTAGAAAAGGCATTGATGCTGCTACTACTAATAATAATAACTCCATTACGGAAGTTTTCACTAATTCTCTCTTTTCTCAAGATAAAAATGCTAAACAAGCTAGAAAAGCATCAGCAAAATTTATATAGAGATATATATCGATTACTAACCCCATAGATATATATCGATTATAATCCCCCCCT